TCATTTTGTAGTACTAATTGGGATCATAATGATTGACGCATGATCAGTATATTCTAGATTCGAAACCCCATGATCACAGTGTTTGTTGATGCAATTCTCCGTTTGTAGTTTGTGATACCCTAGGATGCGGAGGGTGAGGGTGAACAATACACAAGGGGCGTTGGCATCAGGGGAATTAAAAACAAAAGGTACGATTCTCAAATGCATAGCGGTATCATAAATTACAAACTTTTTCTAAGCTCTGGCGACAGATTTCTTCTTTTTCTTTTTGAGATAAACTTCTGGTAAAATTTTTCAATTACAACGAACCTATTTACCCAATCCAACTCAATCTTCATTCATTCAAAAAAAGTTCAGCTGAAGAACCACAATTTTTAAAACTAAATCCTCCACCATGATAAGAGACTAAAAAGCTTCGCAAGTACCTGGAGAACTACTGTAAGAACAAGAAACCACCAAAGAAGCTAATCTATGACGATTTGCAGTTCTATGATGCTGCAAATGATTTGAAACAAGCATCTGAAGCCCCCGCCGTTCCTGTAGTCTTCGAGAAATCGGAAAGAAACCCCGTAGGTTTCTTTTATTCATATTCAAATCAATCCATATTGGGTACTGCAGCCTCTGTGCAACTGTCACCTCCATTACTTATATAATTTAACCAGTCTTCGATTAATCCAGCGCCCCGGTAGATTTAAGCATGAACCAGCTGCAAAAATCAATAAGTGCAAAATTTAAGCGTGAATACGCTGCGAAAATAAAAAAGTTAAAAATTCAATGTGAATTCGCCGCAAAAATCAAGATGTGCAACAAAAATCATTTTGGTTTTGCTCAAATGAGGATGATAGGATTTATTCAACAAAGACATAAAAAGGATAAACAGGAAAAATCACAAGGGAACATGATGAGGTAGGCATTATATACAGGCGAACGGCTTTTAGAGATGAGCCTATGCTACATTCACAATCAAACACGAGCGATTATTCAATATAAATTCTGATTAAGACAAAGTCGTTAAAGATCACGCCGGAATGAAATATCAGCCTCCATTGACTACCTTATTAAAAATTCCAGACTAAAAATTTGTAGCATTTTTATTCTGGCACCGAAACAGAAATAGATAGACCGATTTTTAGCAAATTCGAGCTTCGGCAAGAAAGAAATAAGAAATTTCTTCTCTCTCTAGAGAAGAAACATGAATTGAAAGAAAAGGAGATACGTCAAAAACAAAGCAGAAACCAGAAACTTAAAAAAGAACAATCTTCCATTACTATTTGTGACTCACAATAAACGAGTCCTCTGGCTATGAGTCTCTCAGCAAGATTGGTGTTCGCCACTGCCGTCTTCCTGTATGTATTTACAGTGCGGGAGTTGGTAGGAACAGCAAGAGTTAGTTGGAGGGCTAAGACTGCGTTTGGGTGTGGGGCTTTTTTGCTTTTTTTCTGTTTTTCTTCAATCCAAATATTTGATTGACAGGGACCAAATCTGTAGATTAAATATGTGGACATTACAGAGCGAAAATAAGTGGCTACCAAACACGGTCTTAACCAGGGTTGGTGGCAGGGCGATTTCCTTTCATGTATGAAGTATAAACAACATTCACGCTAGTGGGAATTGGAGGCGGTAGGTGGCGAAACACTCTTTTCAGGGACTAGTTAGAGGGTTATATTAATCTGCCACGTGGCGGAATTCTCTATTCATTTTTATTTATTTATTTTTTTTTCTTCTTTTTTTAAGAATAATCATTTCAACTTTTTTGCATTTTACTCGATTTTATCAAGTAGATCTTTTTATTTTCTAATATGGAGTAAGGGTAAAATTTAAAAATCATTTCAACTTTTTGAATTTTGGTTGATTTCATAAAGCACGTTCCTTTATTTTTCAATAGGGAGTTCAAGTAAAATTGGAGAATTCTTTAATCGATTTCACTAAAAGAATTTGTAATATCTAAATTAATTTTTATGTAATTTAAAATTAATTTTTAAATATAATTTTTAAATTTTTAAATTTTAATTTAATGGAAAAATGAAAAAAATTAGGTGAATGATGAAATTAAAAATAATTTTAATAAAAATGGGTGAAAATTTGAGTTTTGATGATATTTTTGAAAGAAAAATCAGAAACTAAGAGTCAAAATACAATTTAAAAAAATGGTGTCACGTAGGATACCCAGTCAGCAGCCCCAACGAATCAAAACGCGCCGCGTGGCAATGGACGCTGACGCGGAGCCACGCAAGAGGCCACGTAAGTGACCCGGGGGCCAGCGATCGGACAACCCAGATCCGCTCTCACGCGCACGGACGGCCAGGATGCATCCCTTCCCCAAACACAATCGGACAGTTAGATTTATACGCGATCAATGGTCAAGATCTACTTCCTATTTAGTCAGGCTCGGACGGTTCAGATCCAATGTGATGGACGGGCCTAAATTAAAAGGGGACAGATTTAAATA